TCTGAGGCAGGGGGGGAGGGGAGGGGGAAGAACATCGCGTCCCTGCTCGGGCCAGCTGCTCTGGGAAGACGGAGGGGGGAGGGCATCCTGTGCCCGTGCGCACCCTGACTTCCAGTCCTCACTCGGTGGCGCCCTCCTCCTCTCCCCTCCTATCGGCATGTCCTCCTCGTTCTACCTTAAATGAATGAACCCGGCGCGATTTCCATTAGGGGAACGCTTCCTAAGCGGCATTGCTTGGCACTGCATTGCATTACTTGGCATTGCTTTAGATTGGCGTGGCCTGGCGTTACTCGGCAGTGCTTGCCGCCGCTTGGCGTTGCTTGGCATGGCTTGGCGTTGTTTGGCGTTGCCTGGCAAGGGGATAAGACCAGGCAATCGGGGAAAGGCCTCCTCAATAACAGTAAGGGAACACACACCCAAGCAACCAAAAGAAGGCCGTCGGACCACGGCCTCGCAACCACCGACTATCCAAAAACATGATCGACCCACGAACCCGTAAATGAATTTAGAAATGCATGGCATGGCATCCTCAAAATTCAATTCCGCCTTCCCTTCGCGACCTCGGCATTTATCTCAAATAATTCCGCCGGCCCTACGACCGTCGATTCTGGAGATAAACTCATCAAAAAGAACCCTGGGCCCGCGCCCCTTCTGGGAACAAACATGATCGACCCACGAACCCGGAAAGGAATTTAGAAGCGTAAGGCATGGCAGCGCTTTTACGACACCTGATTGGGCGACGGGCGAATTGCAATGCTGAGTGTATCGATCTTGATGTACCGTGCCGAGGGATGTGCTGTGCTGCGCCGTGCTGAATTGCGATGTGCCATGCCGCGATTGTGCTCTGTAGCGTTGTGGGTCGAGGCCTCCTTTGCATCCGAGTCCTTGACCGAACTGATCTAGATCTGAAGCTCGAGCTGCCTGAGCACATAATAGCTACCCCAGGGCTAATTGTCAGGGGGACACGCCAGGAGGACGCGCCGCGGAACGTCCCAAGGGACGCGCCAGTGGTCGTGCCAGGAAACGTGCCAGGGGGACGCACCGCGGGACGTGCCCAAGGGACGCGCTACGGAACGTGCCAAGGACGTGCCCCGGGACGCGCCAGGGGACGCGCCGCGCGACATCCCAAGGGGACTCGCTGTGGGACGCGCCACGGAACGGGCCAAGTGGCAAGGCTGAGTGCATCGATCTTGATGTACGGTGCGAAGGGCTGCGCTGTGCTGAATTGCGATGTGCAATGCCGCGATTGTGTTCTATAGCGTTGTGGGTCGAGTCCTCCTTTGCATCCGAGTCCTGACCGAACTGATCTGGATCTACAAGCTCGAGCTGCCTGAGCAGATAGTAGCTGCCCCAGAGCTAACTGACAGGGGGACACGCCAAGAGGACGCGCCGCGGAACGTTCCCAGGGACTCGCCAACGGTCGTGCCAGGGGACGTGCCAGGGAGGAGGAGGAGGAGGAGGAGGAGGAGGAGGAGGAGGAGGAGGAGGAGGAGGAGGAGGGGGGTGAGGAGGAGGAGGAGGAGGAGAGGAGGAGGAGGAGGAGGAGGAGGAGGGACGCACCGCGGGACGTGCCAAGGGGACGCACCGCGGAACGTGCCAAGGGACGTGCGCGCCGCGGAACGACCCAAGGGACGTGCCAGGGGACGTGCCAGGGGACGTGCCAGGGGGACACACACCGCGGGACGTGCCCAAAGGGACGCGCTACGGAACGTGCCAGTGGACGTGCCACGGGACGTGCCAGAGGACGCGCCGCGCGACGTGACAGGGGGACTCGCCACGGGACATCCTCGTGCTAGACATCCGCCTTGGCAACCTGTACACGTGCAAACAAGCGTCTCGATCGAGACTTCCTCAACACATCCTCTATCTGCCTGGGCAACCTGGACGCGTGAACCCAAGCGTCTCGCTCGAGATGTCTTCAAGACCTGGGCGCGTGAAAACAAGCACTTCACCTGCGACGTCCTCTGAATTCTGGCCCCCAGGAGAGGACAATCGATAACACAATACAAGCGCTTCGCTCGAGACATCCTCAACCACTTCTGCAAAACAAACTTTTTCGCTGCGGACATCCCAAAAAATAAGTCCGCCGGCCCTCTCCGGGAGCCCTTTCCGGGAAACATGATCCCTCAGGCAAGCCTGCTTTGGAAACGCGCCACCTGCACTATGCCGCCGAGAGAGGGGCGACCATCCCCACGAGCGCTGATCACCGAAGACCACCTGCGGCGCGGCGCTGTCGGTGGTGGACGCTGCTGCAGCGTCACCCGTCTCCTCCCCAATTCGGGCAAGCGGAGTTCGCAGGGACGGCCTTGTTCCATCTCTCCACGAGGCCGCCCTCGGCGATTGTGGCCACCTGCGCTGCACCGTCGATCGCACGGCAGAGGCGACAGCGAGTGCCAGCGCGCAAGCAGCAACATCGCCTGGGCTGTCCAGGGTGGTGTAACAGTACTCCCTCTTTGCAAGCTGACTCCACCCTGATCAAAAGACAAAAATAAGCGCTGTGAACTCTGCAGCTGAATTTCACCCCTCTGCCAACTACACGACATCGTAGAATGCACAAGCAAGCATTGCGACGCGAACCGACTCACATTGCTACTGATGGAAAACGTCGTGGCACATGTGAATATATATATATATATATATATATATATATACACACTAGAACCATCGCGCGCGCTTCGCGCGCGCTCAGGTTCTAGCCCAGGCTGGGGGGGCGCTGGACGATCTTGGACAACGCTATCAAGCACAGGCGCGCGACGGCATCTGAGGAGCTTCTGGGGTGTTCCGCATGCTTCGTCAACTGGCTGTTGGAGGCACCTCTTGGGTGCCTCTTGGGGGGGCGTCTGAGGGTCCCTTGGGGGCATCGGCTCTGCAATCTGAAGCCGTCATTGGCCGTCTTGGCTGCGTGGAGGCCCGACTTGAGGCCACCTGCGGCCACATTGAGGCAATCCGGAAGCCTCCCGGGGGCCTCCTGGAAGCAGTTTTGACGCATCGAGGGCACTCTTGGGCTATTTTAAAACCTCTTGGACGTCTCCTAGGGGCCTTTTGGGCCGTCGGGAAGCTTTTGGGGTCCTCGTCGGACCACTTGGGGGCCTCTTGCGGCCTCCTGTGGGCCTTTTGGGGAGAAAGCTCTGCTGCTGGGTCGCGTTCCCCTTCTTGGGCCTCTCTTGGGGCTCTTGGGGCCCTCTCGGGCCGTCTTGGGCGCCTCAAGCACCGTCTTGGGGCCCTCACGGGCCGTCTTGGGGCCCTCTTGGAGGCCTCTTCCTCTATATTGGATCGGTATTGGAAGCCTCTTGAGCCGTCTTGGAGCATCGGGATGCCAAAAGGCCGACGAAAATTAAAACCCGTCAAAGCCCAATCGTAAAACAATGAGTTGTGCCTCTTGGGGACACCTTGGGAGATCTCTTGCAACCTCGTCGGCCCTCTTGGGAGCTTCTTGGGGGCCTCTTGGATCCGATTGGGGGCCTCTTGGGACTTCCCGAGAACCTCTCGGGGTAGGAAGCTCGGATTCTCAGTTCGTGTTTCCCTTCATGGGCCTCTCTTGGGCCCGTCTTAGGGCCCTCTCGGAACGTCTTAGGCGCCTCAGGCACCGCCTTGGGGCCCTCGTGGGCCGCCCAGGGCCCTCTTGAAGCCTCTTCGGCTATCTTGGAGCTGTCTTGAAGGCCTCTTCCTCTTCCTCGTCCCCCTCCTCCTCCTCCTCCTCCTCCTCCTCCTCCTCCTCCTCCTCCTCCTACCACTCCAGCTCTCTCTCCTCCTGATCTTCCTCCTCCTCCTCCTCCTGCAGCGTGTTCCGGAAGGCTCCCGCCCACTGCTCCCGCCGCCGTGCCTTGGGTGGTGGGTCAGAGGCCTCATGGGTGTTGGTTTAGATCTCGCGGTTGGCCTGTCGGGGACGTCGTGAAGGCAGTTTCACAGCTTCTCGGAAGCCGTTTTGGGACCGTTGTGGGGCCTCCTCGGGGCTGTTTTGTGGCCTCTTTAGGCCTCGTTTGGGCCTCCTGGTTGCCTCTTGGGGGCCTACTGGGGCCTCTTGGGGGCTCCTTGGGGCCTCCTGGGGCACTCTTCAAGCGGGAGGGTCGAATTTTGGAGTCGTGGTCCCCCGGTCCCCCTCTTGGGCGCATCTTGGGGCCGTCTTGGGGCTCTGTTGGGCTGTCTTACGCGACTCTGGGGCCGTCTTGGGGCCCTCTTGGGACGTCTTGGGGCGCTCTTGGGGGCCTATTGAGCCAGCCGTCTTGGACGTCGGACGGCCGAAAAGGCTGGAAGGCCAAAATCGCTCGAAAACCTTCGTAAAATTGACGATTTCGGTCTCTTGAAGCGAACTGGAGAGGCGTCTTGAAGCGTCGTGGAGTGCCTTGGGAGACCTCTCGGGCCGTCTCGGGCCTATCTTGGGCGTCCTGGAGCGGTCTTTCGGCGACTCGGGGCCCGCTTGGGCCGTCTTGGGAGCCTCTGGAGGCCCTCCTAGAGTATTTTGGACTTCCCCGGCCGCCCCGTCCTCCCACGGGGGTCGGAGGCGGCGGCCTCCGAGGCCCAGGACGCGGAAACCGTGTAAAAACACAGGGAAAGTGAGCCCCGGAGCCCCCAGGGGGCGCAGGTCCACTCCTGGCGGCCTCCCTCGGAGGGCCTGGAACGCCGAAACCATGTAAAAACACATGGAAAGTGAGCCCCGTGGCCCCCATGGGGGTCCAAGGCACCAATCTGGCGGCCCCAGGTCCCGTTCCCCGGTGTATGTATGTATATATATATATATATATATATATGCTCACACACACCCCTGTGATCCACCTCATCGCTGCTTCACTGTTTCGTTCAATCTGCGATCACCTGTCATTGACTTGCCATGTGTGTTGTATAAGATACAATGATTTTTTCGGGCCTCCACCTCTCACCCCTTCCCCCCCCCCGACCTTTACCTTGGACATCGGGGGGGGGCGGGGGGCAGCAGATGCGCCGTCTGTATAACGTGGTATGCATGTGTTCTCCGTCTCAAGTTCTTTGGGGCTCAAGCGTTCATGCCCATTTCGCTTGAGCTCGAGTCAGTGGGCTCGACTTCTCCATCCCGCGCGGGCAGTGCGATATCTTCTGCTGGCTCGTCCTGGGAGCTGGTGGGCTCTGAGTGCGGGGAGCTCCCTTTGTTCCTTGCGGGGCAGGCGCCGTGCCTGCCAGAGGGCGGGGGTCGAATCCTCGCGACGGCGCGCTGCGGCGGGCCGCTCCTGGTGTTCCTCTGGACGCTCGTGACCGTGGTCCGTGACCCGCCGAGTCCTGAGGAGGATCCGCTGGAGGGTGAGGATTTCACGCCGGAGCGGGTGATGCCAGTGGAGGTATGGAGCCGACGCTACTACCGCCGGAGCGCGACGGATGGCCAGGAGATTTTCTTAGTTCGACGGAAGACTGGGAATTGCTGGGCGGTCTTGCTGCCAGATCTTTCCATGGGTACCATCACGATCACTGCGAAGACGACCGTCTTCTCCGATCCCGTGCCCGGGATCCGCTGGCAAGCGCTGCCGGCTCTCACTCAGGTGCAGAAGAACAGTTTCATGCAGCAAGCTACGGACGGGCTGCGAGCGGGTACTATTCCAGCCCTGGAGTTGTATCGACCGGGCCGTCAGGCCCAGCAGGCCGTCGCCATCAACGTGGTCTATGCTATGGCCAGCTCGGCACGCTCTTCATTGCGTACGCTGCGGTGGGCATTGCGCTCGCCGTACCGTGTGCTGGGGCTGCTGGCGCTGGGTTTCGTGCTGTTCGAAGCTCTGAAGTACCTGGGGGTGGTGGATATGATCGTGGAGACTTGGCTCGCGTTCGTGAGCTGGATGGTGGCTTGCCGGGACGCGCTCATCGAGTCGTCCGAGACGATCCAGGAGTGGGTGTCCTACGGAGGCGAGTGGGTGGACTGGGCTCGGAAGCTCATGCCGCTGCGTCGCTGGGCTGCCCTACTGTTGGCGCTCATCCTGCTCATGTTCTGGGGTGCTCACGAGATGCAGGAAGGGGAGGAGCCTGGTCACTCATCGGTGGCTTCGTCCTCTGCATCGTCCGTGGTCGGAGACGTCGGAGGGGCCGCTGTCGTGGGGCCTCCTTTGCCGCCACCTGCGGGGTCTCCTCCTCCCGTCGCGGCGGCCCCCGACGCAGCTCTCGTGGCCCAGTTGGACGACTTAGCCGAGTCTCAGAGGGCGATGGCCGCGGAGTTGAACGAGATCAGGATTGCCGAGCGGGCTCGGGAGCTGAGGCGGTCGGCAATGGTGTCCTCGAGCGCGGACCGTGGTGCCGAAGTGGCGGCCGCCAACCAGCTGCAGATCCAGTCGATGCTGAGCCGGCTCGACGAGTTCGAGGCTCGCCTGCAGGGAGGCGCGGTGGCGGGATCTTCTGCGGCAGCGGCGGGACCCTCTCCTGCTACGCCTGTGGGCTCAGGGGACGGCCCCACCTCGCCGGCCCGCGGGGACGCGACGGTGCCCATGGAGACTCCCGACAAGCGTGCTGCTACAGAGCCCGCCGAGGCGGTGTCCTTGGCCATCAAGCGGATGAGGTTCAAGGCTCAGATGCCGCAGCAGGTCTTCCTGGAGCAGCTGGAGGACTTCAAGGAGTGCCCGGCCTCGGAGTGGGCCACGAAGATGCCGGAAGGCTACAGGGAGAGGATCGCGCCAGACGTGCTCTCGGAGGTCTACTCGACCGGGAAGACGGCGGAGGCTTGGGCGAGGGACTACATCAGGGATCGTGGTCTCACCGATTGCAACACCGCGCGGGAGATGATTGCGACCTTCGCGGCCGTGGACACGATGCTCATGACGGACCGCCAGAAGGGGCTCCTGAACCAGGTGAGCTTCGAGAGGCTGGTCCGCAAGGGGTACGCGTTGGTGAGGGCCTACCGCAATGTGCACTGCCGGGACGACTGGAGCAGGCCCAAGGACGCCAAGAACTGGAAGTCCAAGGTCGACTGGGAGGCGGCGCGTCGCTTGGACCCGCAGCTGGCCGACGAGAGCACGATCAGGGTCATGAGTGCCGAGGAAGAGGTGAAGAAGGCAATGGGTCGAGACGCGCAGCTGATCAAGGCACGCACGGACCTGGACGGCGGGTGTGCGAGCCCGCCGTGAGCCCCAGAGAACACCCCACGGGGCTGACTGGCGAAGGTGCGCCAGGAGCCCCTGCACGCGATCGGCACCGTCATCGTGGCTGGTCAACTTTTCTCTTCTACTTCTGGCTTTCGAGTCTGTGGGACTTCGGCAAGAGCGTCGGGTTCCAGCAGGTGATCTACTGCACGACGAATTGGGTTATTCATGTCGAGGAGGCGGGACATCCTGTCGGAGGTGGTGCTCTTTCCACGACCGGAGAGGCCAACGTCGAGCTCACGGCGGGTACTTTCACGTTGGCGGGAGGAGGTGGACATTGCGCAGCGGGCCAATCGTTGCTTGCTGGGACTCCGCCAACTTTATCGTGGGACGTTAGGCGACGAGCTCTTGCATCCTGGGGAGATCTGGGGTCAAGGCCCACTGCCCAGCACCATGGACGGGGACCTCTCGAAGCGTGTGCTGGAGGAGGTACGTCGCCTACCACCGCCTCCCTCGACGCCCGAGCGAGGAGCCGCAATCTTGCGGCTGCGACCCGCCGCTTCGGCGGCGGAGAACCAATCCCGGTCGACCTATACCCAACGGTTGGCCGAGCTGCGGAGGAGGTGTGCTGGTGGACAGGTACGACTGCCAGACCGGGGCGAAACGTTTCCCGCCCATTGGGAGCGGGTCGCTCTTCCTCCTCCGGGCTCAATGCCGGTGAGTGCGAGGTCTGTGTCGCCGAGAGTGGCTCAGATGTTGGACGATTTCGAGAGGGAGATGCTGAAGGAGGATGGCGAGGAGTGCGTCAGGGCCGCGGAGGTGAAGAACTACGTGGACCCGCACTTCCGCCGCAAGAAGGACATGCTGATGCTGGCCAGGCGCATGACTCTGGCTGGTATGTTGTGCCGCTGCGAGTCCAAGGTGGACGAGGTTGGGCTCTTCTGTGTGGTGAAGAAGGCCGAGATCGTGGACGGCGAGCCTCTGGTGTCATTGCGTTTGGTCTTCGATCAGCGGCGTTCCAACCTACGATGGCGGGCTCCGCCGTGGTGTGCCATGGGCGGTGTCAGTGCCATGTCGTTCTTGGACGTGTCAGAGGAGATGACGGAGGAGGGCGCTCGAATGGTTTTTGGTACTGGCGACCTCCCCGACTTCTACTACACGTTGGACCTGGGCGAGGCGATCGCGCCCTACTTCGTGCTGCCGGGTGTCCGGGCTTCGGACCTGCTCGACGTTCTCCCCGCGGACGCCCGCCTGAGCGGGTCGGGCGAGCACGTCGGTGTGCGGGTGGCGCTGATGGGTTTCTCGTGGGCCTGCTGGATGGCTCAGACGACTATGGAGGACCTGTTCAACTCTGGTCCCTCCGTGGGCATGCCCGCCCTCGCCGAAGAGCAGCGTCTGGCAGAAGGCGGTCCGCTGCCCCTGATCAGTCGGGAGGTACCTGCGGCCCACTACGAGTACATCGACGACTTCGGCATCATCGGGGTGGACTACCCTCCCGTCGCCGACGCCGAGCCGCCTACGCGGATCAGGGACATCTGGTTGGGGGCCAAGTACCTGGTGAACGCCGCGGGTTTCAACGTGCACAAAGACGACTGCTCGGGACAGGCTCGGATGATCGGTGGAGACTTCGTGGGCACACGCCTCGCCCCGAACCAGGACAAGATGTGGCTGGCCGTGGCCGGGGTGAGCGAGATCCTCAGGCAGAGGTCGGAGTTCCCGGACGCGGTGGCCAAGATCGTGGGTATCCTGTCCTGGGGCTTTCTGATCACTCGAGGGGCCCTGAGCGTTTTCTCGGAGGTCTACCACTGGTGCATGGAGTTCCGAGGGGGCTCCCGCCGTCGGCTACCCGACGAGGTCCTTCGCGAGCTGGCCGTGGCAGCGGCTGTGGTGCCGCTGGTGTCTGTCGACCTGGCCATGCCCTGGGACCCCACGGTGACGATGTTCGACGCGAGCCTCTACGGGGGGGCCATCATCTCAACCCAGGCGGACATCCAGGAGATGCGTCGAGAGGCACGCTTTGCTGTCAGAGGAGGGTGGACCGTCTGGACTGGCATCTCGTCTTCCTGGGCGGCGGACTCCTGGGCAGAAGGCGAGGCGTATCGGCGAGTCGCCGAGGGAGTCGAGCTCGGTATGCGCGTGAGGGCACCGCCGGTGCACGCTTGCTGGGACGACATGTCGAGGTGGAAGGAGGTAGTTCGCTGGCGCTGGGACGAGAAGGAGCACATCAACCTTTTGGAGATGAGGACGGGCCTGGCGGCGGTGAGGCACTCCGCTCGGTCGCGTGCGAGCTGGGGTCGCCGGCACCTGCGCATCACCGACTCCATGGTGTGCCTGGGCGGCTTCAGCAAGGGCAGGTCGGCCAGCAAGCCGATCCTCATCCTGTGCCGCCGGATGGCCGCGATCGACCTGGGTTGCGGCATGAGGGAGTATTGGCGTTGGGTGCCTTCCGACCGCAACCACAGCGACGGCCCCAGCCGGGGCTTCCCGATCGGGCAGGCGCCGAAGGAGCGACTGCAGGGCGAGACCGTGCTGCCCGCCGAGACGGGGCAGGTGATCGAGGAGTTGGCGGACATCGCGGAGGAGGATCCCTTCGCGCCGCTGCGGCTGGGCCGGTCCGTGAGGGTGAAGGTGCTGCGCTTCTTTCACCTCTGCAGCGGCCACACACGGTCGGGCGATTTGGAGTTCTGGCTCGCCCGCCTCGCGGCCGGTCGGGGGTACGTGGTGCAGTGCACGAACGTGGACATCGGTTTCGGGCCCGAGTTCGACCTGTCCGAGGAGGTGAACGTGCGGAGGTTGGAGCTACTCGCCGAGCTGGAGGTGGATGGAGGCCATGCTGGACCTTCGTGCGCTACGTGGTCGAGGGTGCGCTTCCAGCCTGGTGGACCCCCGCCTGTGCGCCTTCGCTCGCACCCGTGGGGCCGCCCAGGTCTCCATGGTGCCGACTTGAGGAAGGTGGAGATGGGCTCGGCGCAGCTGTTGAGCAGCCTGCGCGTACTCAGGGCGATCGCCCTCCGAGGGGGCTCAGTCTCGCTGGAGCATCCTGCCGACCCTGGGAAGCCGCCGTTCCCCTCGATCTTCGCAACGCCCGAGGTGCTGGAATGGGAGGAGGTTCTCGGGGCCTACAGGGTGACCTTTCCTCAGTGCATGTGGGGCTGTCCTGCGCTCAAGTTGACCACGATATCGGGGACAGCCAAGCACCTGGAGCGGCTCATTCGCCCATGTATTCACAAGACGCACACGGCGAGCTTGTGCGGGAAGGACGAGACGGGACGTTTCAGGACGCGGGTAGCTCAGGCTTACTCGTCCGAGCTCTGCCGCGTGCTGGCCGAGTGCCACCTGGACGCCATGCTGGACGGGTGCGAGCGGCGCGAGGCGGAGTTCACGGAGAGGGCCGTGGAGCTGCTGATCAAGGAGACGCTCGAGCGGAGGCGGCGCAACATACGGGACATCGACGTGCTGCCCGCCTCCTTCCTGGAGGCCTCAGGGTGACCGTCTCCGGGACGTGGCTCAGCGTCGTGGCCTGCTGCTTCCTCCCTCGGTCCTGCCACGGGATGCCGCTCGCCGATGGTCGTCTGCGTCACCATTCCCAGGATCGGCGGATGCACGCCACCAATCGACGAAATGAGAGTCAGAGAGCTGGATCATCTGGCCCCGTGCAGACCTCGGAGGCGGGGCTTTCGCTTCTGCCCTACTCGGTGGGGAAGAAGACGGCCCTCAACTGCTACGTGCCCAACGTGCGGCGATTCCTGGAGTTCGCGCTGGACCTCGACCTTCCAATGATGAGCAGGGAAGAGATCGACAACTCCATCCTGGTCTACCTAGACTACCTGGTCGAGGACGAGGAGGTGGGCCCGCACAGGGGCGACTACGTGGTGCACGGCATGGCGTTTGTGTGGCCTGAGCTATCTACGGGCCTTCCGCGCGCCAACCGCGCTCTGAGGGCGTGGCACAAGATGCACGTTGCCGGCGAGGGTGGGCCCCAGCCGCTCGAGGTGTGGGCCGCCCTGGACGAGGCCATGAGGCTGGCCGGGGCCGTGGAGGCAGCCGACGCAGCAGCGCTGGCGGTCGACGCCTACCTGCGCTCGGCGGAGGTCTTCGCGCTGCGGGTCGAGGACATCGTGGACGCCGACAACGACGTGGTGGCCATCAAGCTGGGAGTGCAGGAGCGGAACGAGCGCACCAAGACGGGAGTGAGGCAGGGCGTGCTGATTGATCGCCCGCACATCGCCGACATGCTGCGGGCGCGCAAGGCCGCCAAGAAGCCGGGCGAGCTGGTCTTCGGCTGCTCGGTGGAGTCCTACCGTCGGGCCCTTCGGAAGGCCAGTGACGACATCGGCATCGCAGCCTTCCCCGCCCACTCCGCAAGGCACTCTGGCCCCAGCCACGACGCGGCGGAGGGCTACCGAACGGTGTGGGCCATCCAGCGGCGGGGCCGCTGGGCTTCGGAGAAGTCGGTGCTGCGCTACATGAAGACGCACGCCCTGGTGGCCGCAAGGGCGGCCGTGCCTGCCGCCGTGATGGCTCGTGGCCGGGAGCTCTTGGCCAGACAGGCACCGCGTCCAAAGATGGCGCGAGAGTGAATGCTTTTACTCATTTGATTTTTTGGTCTGGCGGAGGCAGAATGATTTCGGCTGACGTGGCAACCCCGCCCACCCAGAGCCCTGGGCCACATCATCCAGGCGCTGTGCGTATCAGCGGTGGGTTGGGGATTGTGAGTTCAGAGCGGGGCCATCCGCTGTGCCCGTCGCCCGGCCAGCCCGCCTCTGGACTTCAGCAAAGGAAGCCGCCGCTCTCGGCGGCACCCGGATCATCTGTCAGGACCGAAAATCGTCGGTCCATCGCTGTTGCCTCGTGGTCCTGATTTCTTTTGGCTGGCGCCTTTCCGCTGCTCCTGTCTTGGGGTGAGTTTTTCGGTGGTGAGCCTCTAAATGTGTGTTGTATAAGATACAATGAATTTTTCGGGCCTCCACCTCTCACCCCTTCCCCCCCCCCGACCTTTACCTTGGACATCGGGGGGGGGCGGGGAGCAGCAGATGCGCCGTCTGTATAACGTGTTATGCATGTGTTCTCCGTCTCAAGTTCTCCCTGTTCCCTCCCTCCCTTCTTTCGTCTTCGTACTTTTCTGCCTCCTTTCCCGGTATTGGGGATTGTGAGTTCAGAGCGGGGCCATCCGCTGTGCCCGTCGCCCAGCCAGCCCGCCTCTGGACTTCAGCAAAGGAAGCCGCCGCTCTCGGCGGCACCCGGATCATCTGTCAGGACCGAAAATCGTCGGTCCATCGCTGTTGCCTCGTGGTCCTGATTTATTTTGGCTGGCGCCTTTCCGCTGCTCCTGTCTTGGGGTGAGTTTTTCGGTGGTGAGCCTCTAAATATTTGTTTTTCGCGCACACAAATGCAAGTGCCTTTGCAGTGCCTACAAATACCTATGCGGCTAAGTATCAATAGAGAGTCCTCAGCATCTCACCTGTGCGGACCCACAGGTCCTGGCCTTTCTCCCAGTACGTCCACTGAGCAGAACGAATACGTCGACACATGGATACGTTGTTGACCTTGTGCGCGCGCTTGCCCAGGTGCGCTCCCAAGTGGGACCAGAAACGGTCGATGATCTGCGTGCCTGTTTTGACAAAAAGGTGCTGCCCGTCAGGAAGAATGTGCTTCTTAATCTCTGAGTACTTCGGTTTCACCCATACTGTCTTTCCTTTAAAGACGACCATTTTCTTGCAATGCACCACGTTGTCGCGGATAACACCGGGGATGCGCATTTTGTATGCGCGGGCGCCGTCGGTATGCAAAACCACGTTGGTATTCTCAAAATGCTTCCTGGTGGTCGGCTTCCAATCCCGCTTGCGAATTGGCCCTGGCCCTGGGGCGCGACGAGTCGTGCGGCACGGATCAAGTCCTTATCTGTTCGTTTACGAACATCTCCGTGCAAATCGATAGGAGCGTAGGCTTCGATATCGGATCGTGTCTGACATCGCCCAACCGACCAAACCAGAGCTCGGCGAGATCGCGGGCCGGCTGCCTGATCGCATCGCAGTGCATATCGATCGGAGCGGCGCTTTCGCGATCATCGCACGATCGATCGCAATCGCCCAATCGGATCTTCTCTCGGCGAAATCGCGCGACGGCAGCAACGCAAACACCGAAAACCAGAAGGGCTTGCGCGCGAGGATACGAATCAGAGCAGCATCTGAGGAGCGCGCTAGTCAGCACCAGCGTATGCGGCCGACCGCGCTCGACGATGCCTCCCCACTGCTCCCATTGAACTGGTTTCTGCTTGTCCGTCTTCCTCCAGTCGTCCTCTTTGCCCAAGTCGACTTCATCGGCTTCAATGTCGTTCCATTCCTCGACCGAGCCAAAGCGAATTGTCCTTTCCTTTTTGAGCACGTACTTCATCCTCGCTTCAACCAGGCGCAAGTATGTGTTCTCAATGAGTTTGCTGCTGTGACCTGTTACCTGGTGGCACTTAGCCTGAGAGAGGCCCCACGCCGCGCACATGCACGCGACAGCTTTATCTGACGGCGGAGCGGACGCATTGCCCCAGCCAGCTTTAAATACTGGGTGGTTGTGCTGCGGCGTCACGAACTGGTGACACATCTTCCTGTTGCAGCGGTAAGCGCCACCTCTACCAGGCGCGCGTCGCAGGGGCCCGAGGCACCCAGTCGCACACCACGGGCACTGCTCGCCAGCCCAGTCGCGAAGATGGCCACTCCGCGTCAGCATGCGAATGAGCTTGGAAGCGGATGCAGTATAAATGTCTTTCAGGGCACAACTGATCTGCATCTTCACTGGCCTCGATGTGACAGTCTTCTGCCCATGGCGAACATACGGCACGAACGGCATCTTGTGCGCCCCAGACGGCTTCTTGGCAACCTTCATTGCCATTCGGGCTTTCCCGCGCTTGGGCGTGCAAGTCTGAAAAGCAGCGGGTTTCTTTGCGCGCGGCCGAGTCGGTCCGCCGCCGAGGCTGTCGTCGTCGTCGCTCTCGCAGTCGTCGTCGCTCTGGCAGTTGACGCGTAGCAACAAAATGGCCTGGACGAGAGATGACCGTGAAGATCCATCGGAAAAGCCGTCTTCATCTTGGTCTTCCACGTTGCTGTCCTCTGCGTAAAGGTCAGTATACTGGTCCTCCATATCGCCATCGGACTCGCAGTCGCGGATGCTGTCGAGGTGCGCATGGACACAGTACACGCACATGTCTGAGCCGTTGAAGCAGAAGACACCTCTTCCAACGGCACGAAAGCAATCAGCTCATGCAGAAACAAATCATCAAATCAGAAACTGCGTTTTCAAAAGCTTTGTCAGACATACATGGGCAAACAGAACGCAAGCACTTGGCCGATTTGCTTTCTACAATCAAAAACCTATAGTGAGGATGCACGATGAGGATGCAAGGACCTTGGAAGGCCACGTTAGCACTCCTTCGATGGGCCAAGGGGTGGAAAGGGGAGAGGTGGGCACGACCGGAAAACTAAGGTCGCGGGGTGAGGATGCAGGAGTGCTATTGGACTTGTTCATCCTCACTATGGGTGTTGACTGTGCCCTCCATGCCAGAATCGGGAACTCTGCCGCAAATGCCACGCGCCAGGGAACCATCCAACGAATCGCCATCGAACTGGCTGTCTGTCGCCGCCGCGTTACCCGAGCGAAGCAGCGAGCCCAGCCGGAGGACCAGCAGTCGCAGCAGCCGCGCCTCACATCCAAACGCCGCTTCGAGATCTGTGGCCCACTCAGTAAACTGCGCAACGGGAACATCGCCCATCACTTCCCTGCAACTGAAGTAGCGCTGGACTCGCATAAAAACCTCCACCTGCATTTCTCTGAACAGCTCGACTTCAATGGGCATCATGACGTGGCCCATCTGCGTGGCCACTGTAAATGCTGCTGCAGGCAAGGGGCGAGGATCGCCAGGCGGGTAGACGAACGAAAAGTCACAGAAGCCTGCATCCTCCAGAGCCGCCCGCTCGATCATGCCCCCTCGGCGAATTGCCGCAAGTTGGACGACGTCTTGCCCGCCGGACGCCCGCAGGTGGGAGCGGGCCCGAGCGCGGCCAGCGAGCGAGAACTCCTGGTCTGGGTGGCCAGACGGCGTTCCTCCGCCACCAACTGAATGCCACGTCCTCTGCGGCAAGGGCGGGGCCGCGCAACTGCGCGTCACCGACGCAGGTTGCGGGCGCCGTGTCATCGGCCATCTCAGGCGGCTCGCCTTTCGGCCGTAACGTGCCTCTAGCGCCGCTGCCTCCCTGGAGAACTGGGCGCTTGTGAGAAAAAGCCCTTGTCGCACTCGCGCGTACAAGCAATGCTGCTCTGACAGGAAAGACGCCAACTGCGAGCGCAGCCTGAGAACCAGGAATCGCAGAAAACGCGCCTCACATCCAAAAGCCGCCTCCAGCTCTGTGGCCCACGCAGCGAACTGCGCAGCGGCGACCTCGCCCATCTTCTCCCTGAACTCGAAGTAGCGCTGGACCCGCATGAAGATCCCCGCTTGCATCATTCTAAACAGCTCGACGTCAATGGGCATCACGACGTGGCCCATCTGCGCGACCGCTGTAAATGCTGCTGCAGGCAAGGGGGCGAAGATCGTCGGGCGGGTAGACGAACGAAAAGTCACCGAAGCCTGCGTCCTCCAGAGCCGCCCGCTCGATCATGATCTCTCGGCGAATTGCCGCAAGTTGGACGACGTCTTGCCCGCCGAACGCCCGCAGGTGGGAGCGGACCCGAGCGCAGCCAGCGAGCGAGAACTCCTGGTCCGGGTGGCCGCGCGGCGTTCCTCCGCCACCAACTGAATGCCACGCCCTCTGCTGCAAGGGCGGGGCCGCGCAACTGTGCGTCACCAACGCAGGTTGCGGGCGCTGCGTCATCAGCCATCTCAGGCGGCTCGCCTTTCGGCCGTAACGTGCCTCTAGTGCCGCTGCCTCCCTGGAGAAATGGGCGCTTGTGAGAAAAAGCCCTTGCCGCACTCGTGCGCGCAAGCAGCGCTGCTCCGACAGGAAAGACGCCAACTGCGATCGCAGCCTGAGAACCAGGAGTCGCAGAAGCCGCGCCTCACATCCAAACGCCGCCTCAAGCTCTGTGGCCCACGCAGTGAACTGCGCAACGGCGACCTCGTCCATCTTCTCCCTGAACTCGAAGTAGCGCTGGACACGCATGAAGATCCCCACTTGCATCGTTCTAAACAGCTCGACGTCAATGGGCATCACGACGTGGCCCATCTGCGCGACCACTGTAAAAACGGCAGGCAAGGGGCGAGGGTCGTCGGACGGGTAGACGAACGAAAAGTCAGCGGAGCCTGCGTCCTCAAGAGCCGCCAGCTTGATCATGATCTCTCGGCGAGTTACCGCAAATTGGACGACGTCTCGCCCGTCGCTTGCCTGCAGGCGAGAGCGGACCCGAGCGCAGCCAGCGAGCGAGAACTTCTCATTATGGAGGAGGAGATAAGCAAGGGAGATTGGAGGGGAGATGTAATCAGAAGCCCAAGTGGCATGGACACGAAACAAATGCCAAGCAATGCCAAGCAATGCCAAGCAGGCAAAACAATGCGAAACAAAGCAAAGCGATGCAAAGCCACGCAAGGCAGTGTAGA